TTTTTAGAGAAGCAGAACTGATAATGTAAGATAGCATAGTAACAAGTATACTTTGTATTCAAACAGTGTTTACCATCATTGTTATGTGGAAGATCTTCGACAGAAAATTGCAAATGTGATTGCAGCAATACTAAAAGAAATATACCTCAGGGCTCTGTAGACCACTTGGATAATATTTTAAGAATATGTTGACATTGAGGGTAAACAAGTGGTAACTCTTTGAAGACAAAAGAAAAATTTGTTACTATGATATCTTGCATTATCAGTTTTGTTTCTCTAAAAAGTTTTACTTCCATGTAAGTGTTAATATTTTTTTGATGCACTTTATTTTACACTTTATCACTCACTTTATATTATCTACATATTTTTAATTTAATATTAATTATTGTATTAATTACAAAAGTTTAATTCTAAGATATAATAGACTTACTTATCTGCTGTTGTTTCTTTGTTAATAAACTTTTGTACTCACAAGTTGTTCTTTGCACTGAATCGCGGTGGTATCGGAAACCCACTGCAGGGCGTTGACCGTTATTTTTAGATTCTTCACGTAGGTGGGCAAATCGATATAATGTGCCGAGGGTTGGTAGAAATATCCTCAGGTGACGACACGTTCGACTTGCGAACCTCGACTATCAAAGCTTTAATACGTCGACATCAGAGAATTATCGCACTCTCGACCGACATCGAGACTCTCTTCTCGTATATAGCTTTGATGCAATTCCTGTGGAACACCTTGGTCATCTGCTGTCTCGGATTTCTAATCGTGACTGTGAGTGGATGCTTCGTGAAATCGAAGATGCACACGGTTAATATATATATGGCAATAATATTAAATTGCCATTACACAAAACATTTTTATTTCAAATTGTCGGTTTATTGATATGCAATAAAACAAAATATCTCGTACGAGAATATTCAAAATAATTGGATGGTGCTCAAGTGTAGGTTTTAAAGCACTCTTATTTTTCTTGCCATTTAGAGTGTGTTTGACGTTTGATATTATTTCCGATTATATTACAGTCGATCAGCGACACGCAAGGATCCACGATGTTGATTAAATCTTTTTTTTTTTACGTTGTCATCACCTTGGAGGCATTCATATTTTGTTATGCTGGAGAATACCTCAGCGCCAAGGTGAAGAACGATTATATATAATTGTAGTTAAATATAATTATTATCTTTATAAATTCAATATTTTCTATTCATGATTATAAATGCTCAATAAAATCTTGATATAATGATATATATATAGTTAAAATTTTCTTGTCAGTTGCAAATGCAAATCCTGTATAACTGTCTGTATATAATTTTATCATCATATACTCGTTTCTTCAATATCGAAATATTATTGAAAAAATATTTTTTGAAAAATATGTCAGTGACAATGTACATTATAGAATAATAATCTCTTTCGCATGTTTAGCGCTATATTTTTTTATTATAATTCTAAATAAATTTGATCATTCACTCGATTGCAGGGCAGAATGATCGGTGATGCAGCGTACGAAGCGAAGTGGTACAATTCGAATCCCACGCAGAGTCGTATTTTATTACTGCTGATTTTGAGGTCGCAAAGAAAGTTAACTATTACTATTGGAAAATTTATGGATCTCTCTCTAGAACGTTTTACAACAGTAAGATGCGTTTTCAAAACGTTTTGCTGTATCTGTTATAGGTTGTACGTATATCTTGAATGAAAATACGTACGTTGCTAATTTTAATTCAATTTATAAATTAGAAGAAAATATATTTTTACATGTACCTGTAAAAAGAATATATTTTTTATGTTTTATTACATTTTTACATCAGCTTTATAGATAAAAGTATATTGCGTTTCAGTAGCTGTTACAAAATACGACAAGTTCTACCTTCTTTCTTCTAGATTATTAAGGCATCAGCGTCTTACGTATCCGTGCTGCATGCTATGTCCTGAAAGCCGTGTATAGTCGAGAAGGCAATACCCTCCGTGTGTTTATGTAACTATAATTATGTTATAAGAGACGTGACATCCCGTGAATTCTAGTAACTCATTAACGTTCCACGAACGTCAATGTCCTTATGTAAAACTACATCAATATATCTCATTCGATTCGATAATAGCATTGTACTTTTTATAGACAAATGTCTCTATGCGCCGCTCGACGTCCTTTCCTCATCATTGAAAAACTTTCATCCCCGCTTTCGATTTATTCTTAGAAATTTGTTTTCCACAATTCTCCCGCTCTTCGTTTCTTCTTGCCGTTCAAAAGTTTTAAGTATTCCACGCAGGCATTTAGTACTCACGTGTGTTCAGCGCACGTACATTTGCCTTGCATTTTTAATGCAAATAACAGACAGCGACCGAGCGAGGATGCGTACACAAGGGTGATATTGGACGCTTTCGTGGCTGCGTCTGTCCATTTTTTTTTTTCGTAATTATCGAGGCATCGTTCTATAGTTTTTACTCGTGACTTCCAAGATGAGAAAAAGACGTAAAATACGCGATGAATAATTACTGTCTCATGCATGTACACATGGTCGAGGTAGGGTCTGTCGAGTGCTGAGTCCGCAGTCTCCCTGAGACTTCTCGATCGACCATATCTGAGAACTGACTTGGGACTTTCAATCATGCCACAGTCGGAAATTTCGCCTCCTATTCTATGATATTCCGGAATCAACGTTTCGTCAGCACAATATCTCGTAACTGCAGTAAACAATATTTGAGTTGTCCGATCATTCGGGCTAAAATAATCCGACGTGAATCGAGCCCTTCTACATTTAGTCTTATCTATAATGTAGACAGAGAGAGGAAAACCGAGAATTAGTGATAACTCACGGTGTCGCCGGTTTGAAGAAGTGTCTTCGAGCACGATGGAGAACGAGATAGATTCGATGACCACCGTGTCTCGCTCCGTAGAATACGGCCTTCGTTTGATCGGTGTGTGGCCGGGCACGTCGTACGCAATTTTATTTAAAGTCCTCAGCATATCGTCGATGATCGTGTTTCAAATCTTTCAATATCAACACGTGATTGTGAACTTTGGCGAGGAAGACCTAATGATTCTCATGGACGCGTTAAGCGTAACTTTCGCGTACACCCTTCTGCTTATTAAAATGGTTATTTTTTCGTTCAATGCTCGGTAAGCTTTTTCAACATGATATTATACCGAGCACAGAATTAAATGTGATTCGCAAAACAAGCATCTTCCACATTTCTTTCGTTCTGTATCTCAGGTTATCAAGAGAATTTTTTTCATTTATATAAATTTCACCATTAATTTATATAACTTTTTTTTTCGACATCTTGCAAAGACATTTATGTGTTTTTGCGTAACCACATCTCGATATTTCTTTAAATAATCCATTACAGTCTGCTGAACGAAATCATGACATGTATGACCAAGGACTGGAAGGAGTGCAATATTTCGGACGAGTACACGATGATCAGAATAGCTTACGTCTCTCGTTTGGTCTCCAACAGTATAATCTGCTCGCACATGATGTCGGTATTCCTCTACGCGATAGGCACATTAATGAAGATCAAGAATGAAAATCAAACCGATAATCGAGAGCTCATCATTAAGATGGAGATACCCTTCGAGATTGAGAGCACATCGGTACACGTAGCTGTCCTCGTTACGCAATTTATTCATCAGACGACTGCGGCCGGTATGGTGGGCGTATTGAATTCTTTGCTGATAATATTGGTAAGTTCGAGCGTACGTGCGATTGTCTGCTGTTCCTGCTAACTGTAAAAGAAAATAATTACGATATGATACTAAGAAAGAAGATTCTAAAATATCTTAAGTATATGTATGTATATATAGTAAAAAAAATATATTAATTATACAAATATGATTATTTGTAAAATGAAGTTACACAAGTAGACATGAAAAGCACACTCTTTATTTTTGTTTGACATGTTGATTTAGATTCTAAACGAAACAAATGTACATTATTCATGAACATTCTTGTCATTCGCACTGATTGAAGCAAATTGTTCGCGTTTGTTCGCAGTTATTTGCTTTAAATCTAGATGTTAAAATTGTACTAAAAACATATCGCGATGTTTAGGTTCTTCACGTGTGTGGGCAGATTGACATAATACGGCAGAAATTGAGTGAAGTTACACAGAAGAGCATCGAGCAAGATATAAACGACAGCGTTTTGAAAGCGCTGATCGTTCGGCATCAACAGATTATCACCTTCTCCAAAAAAATCGAGGCTCTCTATTCGAATATCGCACTAATACAATTCGTATCGAACACTCTGGTTATCTGTTGTCTGGGATTTCTCATCGTGATCGTAAGTATATCAAATTAATACTAATTTCTTCGAGATATAAAATAACAGAAAATTTCAGTCTATCGGTGCCCCGGGTGGATCGATGATATTAGTGAAGTCCGTGTTCTTTTACTTTGTTATGAGCTTGGAGGCATTTATATATTGCTTTGTCGGAGAACATATCAGTACAAAAGTCCGTATAAAATACACTGTAACATATATTTATTTCATATACCATATATTGCTCTACGACGAGATTTATTATATATTTTAGAGCGAAATGATCGGCGACGCGGCGTACGAATCGCTTTGGTACGAAATGAGCCCGAGTCAAAATCAAGATATTCATATTATGATCATAAGATCCCAAAAACATTTGACGCTTACAATAGGAAAAGTTATGGAACTCTCTTTAAAGCAATTTGCTAACGTAAGAATTTAGTTAAATAATGGAAGCGATGATAAAAAGCTACATTTGCGTGCACGGAGTGTTATCACAATGATATTTTGACAGTCATTTCTTAATCGTTGCGTTCTAATACGATACATTTGCAGCGTACGATAACCATAATCATTTTTATCACGTTATAGATCGTGAAAGCTTCGGCGTCGTACGTGTCGGTGTTGCATGCGATGTATTGAAGCCTGAATGTACTTTATACGCTGCTTATATGTTCGCATGTTGAAGACTATAATACTTTTACGCGATCGACAATTTTCCTATTCAGAGACTCGATGGGGTTTCATATCGAGTGTATACGCGAGTAGAGAGGAGCAAGAAAATTATTTGTCGAAGCATCGATTCGTGACAATCGTACTTGGTTTGTAGTGCATAAGCATTATAGCTATAAATACAACGATTCTCTCAATCGATGTACTTTGCCAGATCTGACGAAATCAAAATAAAAGCATTTTTTAAAAACAGAAATTTAATTTAATTATCGAATATATATCACCTAAATTTTTTTTATATTGTTTAAGATCAAAATGTGGAAGATATATTTTCTTTTTTTATGAATTTATTTCTGTATACATAAAATAAATTTTAAGCATATCTATATAAAAATATACATTTAAAATATATTTTCATATAATAAATATAAAAATATATAAATACATATACACACATACACATAAGTACATGCAAAAGTATTACAAAAACTCTTTTTACTTTATATTAGATTTTTCCGAATAAAATTAATTGTATAATAAAAGAGTATTTTGTGACTAAAAATTTGGTATATATTTATTAACCGTATTTTTATCACATTTCCTATAAAAGATTTTTATTGCAATATTACTATAAATTTATTTGTTTAAGGTTTTTTTGAGCTAATGATTAAAGATGTAGTGTGAAAATATTATTGTACATAAATAGTGTTACAGTATTACGAAGTTCTTATCTTTATCACAAGAAAATGTCATTCGCTGAGATGCCTTTTCCTTCGCCACGTGCTCTAGCCTGCAGCACTGTTATCGTCACAGATCTTTCTCGGAACGACCCACAGCACCAACTGTGAACTGTGATCTTCGCACTGGTCTTTCCATCGTAACTCTCGAGGTACGTCGTTCGTTTTTCTCCCTAATAAACTCCCTCAATATGCTTCCCCGGCAGCGAGGAAACCTTTCAACCTCGCGGCAAGCAGTTCTTAGAAGCTGTGTTCTACCTACCTTGCTCATTGCATTTTTAAAGAAAAAACGTTCAGTTGCTGCATCGTGATCGGTAACTCGATGGACAAAGGGGACGACCCCACCATTCATTTTATCGTCCATCATATTATAGTTGCGGTTCTTACGCGGTACAAAATATATATTTAACAAATATTAATTTATTAATAATTGATGACATAGGATTATGTTTAGTTGTCGATTCGTGAGGCGATAAAAGTATTTGATGAAATTATAGTCTTCAAAATGTTCCTTATAGTTTTTGGGAAAGATGCGTTTCTTTGCACGCAACGGTTCGGTTCGGCCATCACGTTTATCTTATTTTATCATGTGTACCATTTCTATTGTGTTATTCAAATTTTGCAGGACAGTAATAACAATGAGCATAATTCAAGTCTCTTAGTACCAGTGTATAATGGTGAACGTCTGTTTTACATTTTTTATGCAAATGACGAACACCGGATGCGAGGGATACGTAAAGTATATAGAAAACTTCGTAGCTGTCTCTACCTGTCTTTTTTGCAACTACCGCAATTATTGACACATCGATTTATAATTTTTTTCTCGTGACTTCTGATAAACTTCTGAGACAGAGAGAAGTATAATGTGAATAACTCCTATTGGTCGGTTACAATCGAGGTGGGGGTTCTTCGAATGCTGAATTAGATGCATTCTGTTAGAATTTTACAGTTTCACTGAGACCTCTCGGCCGATCATATCTGGAGAGGAAGTCAAGTTAAGACTATCGATTATGTAGTTGGAAGTTTCGGTGGAGTTTGCCTTTCAACTGTACGAAATCGAAGGAAGTTTCAGTATTGTTTTAGTGGCAAAATCTTAAGCTGTGTTGCAC